CACCAGCACCAGCACCAGCACCAGCACCAGCACCAGCACCAGCACCAGCACCATCACCAGCACCAGCACCAGCACCAGCACCAGCACCACCATCATTTGCACTTGCAAGTGTAGGAGACTCATAAATTTGCCACTATGCGCCTGTAGCTTGGACAGGTTAATCTTCACCAAGCAGACTTAGCATGTTCGCTGGGAGTTGGCACTGCGTGGAACAAGATTGCTATGCCGTCAGCTTATCTTTGACGCATGCGACCGTCCCAGAACGTGCTCTCGCGCCTGTGGGGTCTCGGAGGGGCAGTTTCTGAATTCTTCGAACGGCCTCTTATCAGCACGTCAAAGATTGACCAGCATGGGGCCACAAACACCCAACGATGCGGTCGAGGGTCTTCTTTCGAGCCCTGGCCCACTCAGGGTTCTGGCCAGCTGAGCCCAGTGGCTGCGCCTATCTCCCTCGGCGGGCACCCTAGGAACTTCAATAGATGGAATTAGATGCAAGAAGCAAACGATTAAACTGATTAAACGATATAGCATGCAACAACTGAGCATTGGGCCAAAACTGTGACCACCCACCCCAACTTACGAAGAAGTTTAGCTTACCAAGGGTCGCTTCATGGCTCCAGGCGCCCGACGGTCTACATGAAGGTCCAAACAGCGTGTGATGTCTTAACATACAATCACGTACCAATCGCCGTCATAATTATTACCCCAATATCAAACACATGGTTGGCTTACGGCCTGCTGACACAGCAAAACTTGCATGAGATGCACACATTCAGAGATATTCAGAGCCTCTATAAGCCTAGAACAGCCATGCAACCTTGCTGACAGAAGCCCGAATCAGTGAATCAGAACGTTTCACCAGGAAAAAGACATGCCAGCTCGTTCTCCTCTTTTGCTGTTTGTTCTTTTTACCTTTCTGCTTTGCAAGCTCAGTCCTGGAAGCGAAGACGCAAGGGAGGAATCAACATTTCTGAAAATGAAACCAAACCACTGAGCCCGGGAAAGGAATGGCACAGGCCGGCACTGCTATGCCGAAAATCCGAAAGCCACTAGGATACCGGTGAGGATCATCCTGCAATCCATGAGCTTTCCAGCAACCTTGAAGACTGCACCCGTCGGGGGATGAGGTGTCAAAAGCTCTGATGCCGAACCATCCCTCTGCGACATGGTGGAAGTGAAAGGCTTAAACACGGACGAGATCGGCCTGCACGAATTTTGGAGGTGTTTTGGGTTCTTAGGCTGCCCGGAGTGTTCCGTCGCTACAGAGTAATCGTGTTTTGTCAATGAAGAATCTGTACTGTCTATAGATGGTGTCTAGACCGCTTCTAATCTGAGGCGCTCTGAGGTTGCGCGGGGCGTGATGCAGTGGGCTCTGCTTCACTCGCTTGATGTCTCAGACGTCCATGCTTCCGGCTCCATCCTCTAGCATCACACCGCCGTCTCTGATAGGCCGGTGTGCTTACTGCTGAAGGTGCATATGTTTTAAGATGGTGGTGGTGCTGCAGTTGCTGACTAATATGACGATGATGATGGTGATGGTGACAGTCTTGATGATGATGATGGTCGTGACGATGATGATGATGATGATGACCATCATCATTATCATCATCATCATCGTCATCATGCTGCTGATGAACCCGACGATAATGATCGACACGAGCACTGGCAACATTCATGTCATCAACACACCATCAAGACATCATTATGCAAATGAGGATGACAAGGATGATGGTGGTCCGAACATCGAGATTGACGTTGAGAGTGCATCTGCACATGAAAGTACAGATTATCACGATGATGATGGGCGTGAAGAAGGTGGTGAAGAGAGACGACGAAGAACAGTACTGCTTTTCATGACGACGGTGACGATGACATAGCCGCAGCTGTTGTGGTTGGTGGTCGGCAATTAAGATGATGACAATGAGGGCGATGATGACGACAACGACGACGACGACGACGGCGGCGATCGTGATGACGGTGCTGATGCCAGTGCTGATGACCGGGCTGCTGTTGCTGTCACTGTTGTTGCCGTTGTTACTGCTGCTGCTGCTGTTGTCGAAATACCTTGCAATTGCATGTTTTAGGCAAGTTTGTCACCGTCCAGCAGCGGGCAGCAGGCCCGACCGTCCATACATGCGCAGGCACGACCTAAACTTGCGATGACATTGTCCCGACTCTCCAGGAATCCAGAATATACTGCCACAATATGCTCAACTTTAAGCCGAACACCCCAATACACTGCTACCTAACCGAATTCGCCTTTTCAGTCAAACCATCGGAATCATACATAATGATGAGCTGAGTGCTTTCTGGCGCAACACCCCAGGCAATCCCTAGCAGCTCCCTAGCAGTGACACAAGCCGCTCTCAAGCGTCAGGTGATAGGGCAATCATCGCGCACGTACTTGCCTTAAAGGGGCTGGAGGCCAATATCAACAACCGTAATCATCATGTCCCCCAACTCTGCAGAGCCGTTAAAGCAACAAAA